TTTGCTTCTGTAAAGGTTTCAAGCAAAAGTTGATGAGGTCTGCACTAAACTGTGCAGCTAGACAGACATATTAATAATGTTGCAAGACAATCAATAAGAATAAATAATGATATGTGATAATAACAGTAATAACAACAGACATTTATAGTTGACTCAGAACAAAACCTGGAATATTCCTTTGAGATTTTGTGGATTACTAGCTCTGATATCAGATTTGGACCTTCTGGTGTTCTTGTCCTCATTGGCTAGCATCTAGTTTTTCTAATAAGACAGCGTAATACACAGACGTAATAACTTGTTCATATGTAATGCTGTGATAACATATTTATTGAAGTGTCTCAACATAATTTTTAAATAGCCATTAAGAATTTCTCAAACACATCTATGAAAAAAATAAGAAGATAAGTGTAATCTTAGAGACATGTAATGAGAACTGGCAAAGAAAGCTTCTTTCTTTCTTTCTTTTTCTTTCTTTCTTTCTTTCTTTCTTTTCTTTCTCTTTCTGTATTCTGAATATGATAATTGACAGACTTAGAAATAAATTTCTAATTTAAGCTGAATTTTCTTATGCTCCAAGCCTCTGTTAATACCAAAAAGTTCAGATATCTCATTCTTATGAAAATATTTTAAGAAATAAAGTAAAATATAAATGCATTTAGACTGAAATGCATCCATATGGATGAAAACAACTGTAAAATGAATAGATCTACTTTTGTCAACAATCTTACAATTTCTATTCATGAATAACTTATGCTCCATTTATGCTCAATTCCTGCCTAAGTTCCACTGGAAAGTTATACAACACACCTTTTGCATATAAATTGTGCTAGCAAAAACCCATACATAGTCCAGAGCTGAAAAAAAATGATACTTGCAGGTACCCAAATATTCATGAGCAGCCTGTTTCATTTGACAACTGAAAAGCTAAGTCAAGTGTGTGGTGCTCAGACTGGTGACCCTCCAATGCCTTTCACTGGACTGGCTGTACTTCATTAGTATTCAGCATCTATCATAACTTGGAAGAACAATAATGTTAAACTAGAAAAAAGGAAAAACATCCTGTTCCTTAATTGTGCTATGGCCTTCTTATGGGAATGGTAAATATTAACTACAATCTTTACATCATTAACAGTAATTCTAACTAATTAAAAGCCTTGTTAATGTTTTTTAGCTATCATAGGAAATAGCTGAAGTAAGGAACAGAAATGAGAAGAGGAAGAAAAGAAAAATAAAACCTGCAAACTGCCAAGGAGCGACAAGAACACAGATAGCAGAGAAACACTTATGACTAGTTGTGCAGAGACAGTGAGGTGAAGGAAAGAAAAAAGCTGCAACAAAGAAATCAACAAACAGAAACACTCACAGCCAAAATCCTAATATGTAAATAGAAGTAAAAAGAATAATGCTTTCCTTTACTAATGCTACCAGTATTGCAATTCACTTTCAGAAATCAGACAGGTTTATCATGCTAACAATTTGCTGCTATACATGCTGAACTTTGGGTTCAGTTTCTTCCCAAGAACTGAATATGGTGATGCTATTCCTAACACTGTTTATTTTTGTATTAACAACTTTTTGTTCATGTTTAGTATAGGAAGCTGTTGTGTGCAACCACATTTTAAGAACATTTTTCTAAACATTTTCTGAGAGGAAAAAAGAATTTTTTTTTTTGGTAGAATTAATAATGTATATTTGTCCCTAATAATTTTCACAGTGAAATGAAATGTGTAAAACTGTATTTCTGTCTGATATTACATAGTATGTTGTGTTTTGCATGACACTTAATTGCAATGTATTCTTTACAACACAGAAATGCTATCAATTGTTTAAATAGAAAATATTATCTAGTTATTTTTGTAGGAAAGGAATTAATGTATGCCAGTGAAACCAGTAGCTTTGCAGTAAAATCAATGTAATTTTTTTCTAACACATATTTGTATTACTCATAAATGTATCATTCATGATTGCTTAAAAGAACCCACAACTGTAATCATCTTTATCATAAGTTAACAAGAAAAAACAGCAGAATCTCACATTTAGACCTTACTCTCCTTTCAGAGCAATGTCTCAAGGTTGTAAGGAAAAAAACAAAATCACATACAAATCTCACAAAACAGAAGCCAGTCTTGGGAAAGTGGATGGAAGCCTATATATTAAACAGGAAGCTGCTGAAGACCGAGGCTGGGCTGAGCTGGGCTGAGCTCGATTGGGCTGGCAGAGATGCCCCATACTTTTAGCTGGTTGTTTGTGGATGGATAATTTACAGAACCTTTTGCATAGCCTAAGCTGTATAAAGTTGCCAGATCTGTACCACTGATAAAGAAATTTTGCTGATTTTGACTGTGATAGAGTTAATTTTGTTCACAGTAGCTACTATGGAGCTATGTTTTGGATTTGTGCTGCCAGCAGGGTGACAGGACTTGAGGAAACATCATGAGGCTGAGTTTGGAGTGGTTTAGGTTAGATATCAGGAAAAGCTTTTTCATCCAAAGGGTGGTCGAGCACTGGAACAGGCTCCCCAGGGAAGTAGTCACAGAACTAAATCTACCTGAGCTCAAGAAGTGTTTGGACAATGTTTTCAGGCACATGGTAGGATTCTTGGAGTGTCCTGTGTAGGGCCAGGAGTTGGCCTCAATGATCCTGATGGGTCCGTTCCAACTCAGCATATTTTATGATTCTATTATAACATAAGGATATTTTCTTTGTTTCTGTGTAGTGCTTACATAGTGCCAAGGGCTTTTCTGCCTCTCACCACACCCCTATCAGTGAGGAGTCAGGAGGTGCACAAGAAGTTGGGAGGGGGTACAGTCAGGATAGCTGACCCCAACTGACCAAAGGGATATCTCATAACATATGGCATGGTGCATTTAAAGTTAGGGGAAGAAGGACAAAGTAGGGAATGTTCAAAGTGATGGCATTTGTCTTCCCCTGTCACTGTTACTTGTGATAGAGAAAGCTTTTCAGCTTCTTTCCTGAAGATAACTGAACACCTGCTGCCCATGAGAAGTGGTGAATTACTTCCTTGCTTTGCTTGCCTTGCATGTGTAGCTTTTACTTTACCTATCAAACCATCTATATCTTAACCCACGAGTCTTCTCACTTTTCTGATTCTCTTCCTCACCCCACCCAGAGGGATGGAGGGAGTGGCTGTGTGGTGCTTAGTTGCTATCTGGGATTAAACCACGACAGAAATGTATATGCTTTTTAATATCTTGGCACTTTGAAGCAAGGACAGGATTTTCAGTACTTTTAGGAAGTCTTTGTGATACTGGGATTTAAGTTATTGTGTTTCCTCAAATTTGTGTATATGTAATAACTAAACTTGAGTGCACATACTTTTAACCATTTTAGTTAAAGTGGATCAAGGTAAAGTTTGTACTAGTGTAAAGATAGCCGTGGGCATGTCTCTTTCCTAATACCAGGTAGGTTATGTCATTTTAATATTATGACATGGTAAAACAGAGAATTTACATACAAAGAAGTCATACTTCAGATCCCATTTAAGTTGTAAAAAGATGGATTTTCATTACCTATAAAAATATTAAAAATTTAAAAAATTATCAACAATATCTAAACAGTATTAACTGAATTCACATAAGTTTGAGTGTAAGCAACATTTTAATTATGCCTATGAGGAAATGTTTTAGTTTTATAAAGCTATATCTATTGCCATTAATCTTTTCTTCAAAGCAAAGAAGTACCTTTCTCATGTAGTTCATTGTTATGTGTATTGATAAGATATGGCAAATGAAGATGTTGCCTTATCTTCTACTTTTACACCCCCATCACTGCATTTTTTAGATTTCTGATGGGAAACTCAGAGCAGCGGTTAACTGGAATGATAATTTAGCTCATGCTAAGGTAATATTTTCATAGTTTGAAATAAGTTTTTAGAAAGAGTTATTTTCTGGAATAGATGCAGTAGAACAAAAACAAAAAAACACCATTCTTGTAGAGAAAAATCCAAAGTAATTTTTTGCACAATAAAAAAATCTAAATTCCTATAAAATAATGTGATGAATTACAGCAGAAACACCATTTAAATTGCTGTTTCTTTGCATTGCAATGTTGTAATTTAAAAAGATCATAGTCTGTTGTCAAATTTTATTCTCAGTTTCTTTCTGCTTTGGGAACTTCAACTCTTCAAAATATGCAAAAGGCAACAATTTAAAAAGCTTTACCTCTGAAGGTATGGAAATAAAGCATTTTAGTACTCCTAGTAAGAATTATAGGGTTTTTTCAAAAAAGAAAAAAAACCCACATAGGAACCTTCAAAAGGAAAAGATAGATTTCATGGGGCATCTGTTTAGCCTGCTCTAGTTAAAAATAGCATTCATCTGTAAAACATCAATCTGTCAGGCACATTACTAATATAATTTTTATGACAACATAACATATTGTGAAGACATGATCCTTTTCCATTTTCTTCAGCCCTATTCAGCAGACTGTCCTATTCACAAATCCTTTTTCAAATGACAGTTTTTTTGGTGAAAAACCAAAATCCCTACACCAGTACTTTAAGTTTACCAGCATCTTTGCTTTATATTTGCAATTACCGTTCAAGAAAATAATCTCCCGCTGTTAAGTATTCTAAAAAACTACTCATATCCCAATGTGACCCAGATGTAGCATGCTCTATAGGGGACTATACCAATCTCGGAAATTCTGTGCTGCTGCTACATGTAGGAATTTAGATTGCAGCATGCAGAACACAGTGGATTAATGAGAATATTTAAGCTACATATGTATATATGTATGATTTAGTACAGGCAAGAAGAAGGAAATAATCTAAAATTCCTTTAGTTTCACTAAAAATTTAGTTGTATTTGCATGCATGCAGCCCACCACATTTATGCAATAATCTCAGTATTAATTAGAGCAAAGTCAATTTTTTGCAGTATGTACATGTGTCCAGGTAACAAAAAATTTAGTTTACTATTTCTTTCCTACTAGGATTCCTGCTTCATGTCTCTCATATTTTCTTCAAATTGCTCACTCACTTGATTCTTGGCACTCCTCTGTCTTTCCAGAATGTCTTCATATCTGAAAGTATAAAGCTTTACCATGAAAAAAGATGCAAGAAACTTTCATTAATAGAAAGGCAGCCAAGCCTGCCCCTTCTGTGTTTCTACCAATAGTAGTAGCTTACTTTGGTGCTTAAATCTGGTGAGAATCTTATGGTAACATCTGCTAAGGAAACAACCGTACTGGTATCCTTGTCAGTTGCCTTTGGATGTCAACTTTCCATCTTGTCTTGCTCATGTAAACTTGACAGCTCTAAGCACCACAGCAGAATTCCATAACTTTATTGAAAATCTCCTTTTCCAGTGAGCCAGACCTGCCTTTCCATGGCATAATGGAGCGGTATGAGCAGAAATCAAGCATTTGTGCCTTCAGATTGGGGTGTCTTAAACAGTATTGCTCCGTCTCTTATTTTCTTCCACTTTCCTTTTGTAACACTGCAAGATGATGCTCATTGCTTAGTTAAAGGATTATTCCTCCTAAACTGAGTCTAGATTTCTTTCTCTGGTTTCACTAAGAATTTTGTCTTGTAAAAAAAAACAGAGAGGGATTTTTTCTGTCTTGCCTTTGAGATACTCTGCTTATACTATGAGTTCATTCATGGCAAAGTGTAATAATGCCGTTAAGCAGAACAAATAATTCTGCTCTAAGGTTTATTACGTTCAGGCAGCATTATAGAAATAGCTCTTCTGAGGAAAAGTGGGGGGTAATAAGTATTAAAGAAATTAAAATAATCAAAAAGAAAAATCTCCATTTTAACTTCAGTTATCTCTCATTTTTACCTAGACTGCTAGCAGACTGAGAAACTCAAAACTTTCTAGCATCTTCGCTTTTAATTTTTGTTTTTCTCTCCTCTCCTCACAAACAGTCAGAGCTGGTATGTTTGCCTATTTCTCTTTTAATGATTTTTAAAAAGCATCAAAGGAAAATCTGGAATAAAAAAAAATCTATTGTTTCATTGCTATTGTAGGTTGACCTTGCCAGCTGCCAGATGCCCAGCTGCTCTCCCACTTCAAATCTTCAACAGACAGAGAGAGAAAATAAGATGAGAGACGACTGAGATAAAAACAGGGAAAACTCTTATCAACTACCATCATGGACAAAACAGACTTAACCTGGCAAAAAGGTAATTTAATTTATTGCCAATTAAAATAAATTTGGATAGTGAGAAACAAAAATAAAACCTAAAAACAACTTCCCCCACCTTCCCTTCTTCCCACGCTCAACTTCACTACTTCATTTCTGAGTCCTCTTCCTCCTTCCCTGAAGGAAAAAAAAAGAGGACTAAGAAATAGAAAGCAAACAAGCATGCTAGTGGTTAATTATCCTAGTAGAGTTTTATCGTTCGCATTGAGTCCCCGAATTAATTTGAATGTTATTCCTGTGAAATACTGCATTGTCAAGACCCCTTGGTTGGAAACCAGACACTTCCACAGGTATTTCTAAACCACATATGGTTTATATAGTTCCCAGTTCTGGCTTCAGTTCTTCTTCTTTCCCTTAGAATACATGTAAAAAAAAAAATAGTGGTGTGCAGGCACTATATAAGATTCATAGAATGATGGAATCAGCCAGGTTGGAAAGGACCTCTGAGATCATCAAGTTCAACCCTTGATCCACTACCACCATGGTTACTAGACCATGGCACTGAGTGCCACATCCAGTCTCATCTTAAAAACCTCCAGGAATGGAAAATCTGCCACTTTCCTGGGCACCACATAGTCTAAAATCTAATAACTGAAAGTAGCTGCCATAGAAATTAAAGATCAAAGTTTTATGTTAATTATTTTTGTCTTGGGATAAGTTTGCTGTGAAATCTTAGTTAAAAAATTTCAAAACATTTATTAGAAGCTTCTCATTTTCTTTTACAAGGGAATAATAGGGAAATATTAAATCAATTAAATCTTTATATACAAATATATTGATTTCAAAAATACTGCACCATAACCACTGTCTGATAGCAGAAAAATATTCTTTGTGAATTAAAAAAACTATGTATTGAACATTAGAACTTGTCTGCTCATTATTGCAACTCATTAATTCAAGTTCTTCAGACTGGCAACTATTCAAGTTCCTCAAATCTATTAGAGACTAATAAATTTGTCATGAAATATTCACATTGAGGAGTGATATAAATGTATAACACACCACTTATTTTCTGAAAGAATTGATGGAAATTAGAAATAAGAGAGGCAAAAGAACGTACGCAGAAAATGTTTGTAGAATCTCAGTATTGAATTTGCCTAGTCCTATTTATTGCTCAAACTAATAACTTAGACCAAATAACTTCACAGTAGTTGGATTCACAGTTTTCATGGTTTAAGAATGGTATTCTCCAATTTTGTGTTCCCACTGAAACATTCCAAACCAAGCACTGCTTGCTTACTGACCCCCGCCTCCTCAGCCCTCCACTTAATCTTTCCCCTGTGATGGGCTGGAGAAGACAATTGGAGCCACAAAAGGTAGAGATCACAGGCTGAGAAAAGAACAATTTACTTAAAACAGCAATGAGATAAGAAAATGAGAAACAACAATACCAATGACAGAGTGTAGAAAAGAAATGTTATTGCTCACCCCACAGACAATATCCTCGGCAATACCTGACGCTCCCTCCGTCATGCTACTCTGACCTGGAAATGAGCCCTTCACTTTCCCCTGGAAAATGATGTGAGGTGGTATAGAATAACCTCCAGGTCTTAGCCATGCCCTATCTTGGCTACTGCAAAAATTACTGCTGCCGAAACAAGAACGACAGTCTTCCTATGTGCCTGTACTCATCCTAACTCAATGAACTTCCACCCTTTTGGTGGAACAGTCAGGTGCATCATGATGCTAATAATAAAAATAATGAGAGTTAATATTGAAAGTAGATAAAGACATAACTAGGTAACAAAGTAGGAGAAGGGAGGGAAGTTATATTTCATTTCTACAGACATCTTATGTACAAGCTAAAAAATTACAAAAATCAAGGCTACCACATATGGCTGAGACAGTTGGAATTGTGCAGCCTAGAGAAGAGAAGGGCCTCTGGCAAGACCCTGTAGCAGCCTTCCAGTACCTAGAGGAGGCTACAAAAGAGCTGGAGAGGGGCTTTTTACAGTAGCATATAGTGGTAGGACAAGGGGGAATGGCTTTAAACTAAAAGACAGTAGTTTTAAATTACATACCAGCAAGAAATTCTTTACTGTGAAGGTGTTGAGGCACTGGAACAGGTTGCCCAGAGAAGTTGAGGGTGCCCCAACACTGGAAGTGTTCAAAATCCAAAGGTTGGACAGAGCTTTGAGTAACCTGCTCTAGTGAAAAATGTCTCTGCTCATGGAAGTGGGATTGGAACAAGATGATCTTCAAGGTCCCTTCCAATCCAGGCCATTGTGTGATTCTGTGATTCTATTATTTCATTGCATTGTACATAGTTGAATTCTAAGAGAAGATGCAGAGGAAATGAAATAGAGAGCAAGAGGAGACCATACATTCTGGAGTTCATATATAATATTTTTATGTTTAAAGAGTTTAATAGCACAGAGGTGCCTAAATCCACTAGGAACAGCTCTTGGTGGGGGGGGGAAGGTAGAATAAGTTTCACAAGTTTCGCTCAGCTCTGTGTGAGGAGAGACGCTACTGCATCCACATACAAAGCAAGACCCCTGTAATATGTTTATCATATTTAACTTAAAATCTTCAAAATGCTAAATAAGCTAGAGCAAAAAAAACTATATCTGGAAGTTTTCCTAAGAGGCTACATAGTACATGTGCTTTACAGAAAAAAACCCCAGATTAAATGTACTTAAATCATTCACATTAAAATGATAGAAAATAAATAATTAAAGAAATTCCTCTGTCCATTTTGTTCTCTTATAGCATTAAAAAAGATAACTTAAAATATGATAATTTAGCAAAAAATGGAGATTATAGCTTGAAAAGGTCATTACTTCTGTGTGACCTATCCATACAAAACAAGGCTACTGCAAACAGTATATTTTTTATTATATAGATAAATTTCCTGCAGAACTGAGGCTGTTCTTGTTGTTACATGTCTATCAATTCACTGACATCCCAGTACTGTTCTACAATACAGTGTAATCTTTTTTCTTCTCATTTTCATACATTTTTCAGTATTTAGCAACAGATACTAAGAAGGGAATAAATTATTAATATCTCAGAAAAAAGCCAAAAGCATAAGCCAACAATGTATCTTTAAATTATAATTCTTAATGAATAAAACCATTTATGTTTTTATTTTCACTTCTTTTCAAAGGGGTGATTTATGTTTCTATTTGGCAAAATCTTCTCACTCCATATATTTACCCTTATTACTGGAAGATTTCTGGATGAATGAGGTCAAGATGTAGAGTTAATCGTTATCTTGATGAATAAGGATGGATACTGCTCTTAGTTGTGTATCTTATGTAGAAGAAGAAGTAGAAACTTTAAGTTTTCAGGACTTCTGAAAGCAGACGACAACTATTCCCCTAACAAAGGAATAATTCAGCTTTGACAGTTACACATTTATTCATGAGAGAAATGCTAGCATGATCTAAGCAACTTGCTCAAACATTGGAGGTCGTATGTCAAGAGGTGGGCAGCACTGTTTATTATTGCAAACAATTGAGGTACATTTTTATTTGGACGTGGTTTTGTTGACAGGCATTCTACGCTCTTGAAAAATTATAGTTTGTATTTGTTAATAAGGTGTGAAAACTTAAAAGGTGGAACAATCACATATGCATACTGTACCGAACATTTCATAATGACCCTGTAAGCTGTGGAAAATGTAGCATTGATATCAGCAATATATTTCATTCAGATATTAATACAATCTTGTACATGCCAAAGTGAGATTGTAGCTGGAGATACAGTGAACTATCCAGAAGTCATTTGAATAGTGACAGAAAGAATACCTTTCTAACTGTGTATCATTTATTCAATGTGCTCTGGTAGTCGATGAGGAAACTAACCTATCTGTATGAATTCCCTAGTGCAGAAATCAGGATATCAATCAATTTTCTTCTTGTTTGTTTTTC